GCTAGTTATTCCTGTGAGAGACCGCACAGTAAGTTTCCGAAAAGAGCTTGGATTCCAGCATCCTAGGCAGTTTTGCTTCAGGTGAAGACTATGCACTGAGCTACTGCTGAGTTACAGTAGCTGTGGTGGTTTCATCATCACTATGTTTCTAGAAATGGTAGTCATTACTGTGCAATGAGGTTTGAGATACTGTGATTTTAAAGGACACTAGAGAAAATAAAATTCTGTGATATCTTTCAGTTATAAGCATTAAAGCTGAAAGCATTGGCTTTGCAGAAAGGGACATCTAGTGGCTATACAAAAAAACCCATACTAAATAAATTTTAAAATGTAACACGTAGCCATTTGTGTGTAGCCTGCAGTCTTCCATATTCCATATACCTTTGTAGTTCTACTACACCACGTGTTTGCTGGGATCAATCTTCAGGGGTTTGGCAAACAAAAAAATCACCTTTGCAAGCCATACCTTTCTAGCTCTATGTAGATCTACGTATGGGGTAGCTTTGGTGAATAGAAACTTGCCTTCAAGCCATGCTTGAAATACCTCACTGCTGCACTTCCACATTTTCTATAGCATCTTCCAGGAGTCCACTGCCTGCTGTTTCCTTCTGCCAATGCCTTCCCTTTTGGTACTGTACTTGGAGAGGTTGTGATTGTTATTATAATGGTAAAATCTACTTTTGAATGCCCATAGCATAAAAGTCAGCGGGAGGGGTGGGTGAGATTCAGGGAAACACTAATCTAAGCACTCAGTCATGTATTACACAACAAAAGTTTTTTCCTTTCCCATCCAAGTTGTGCTCCTTCTTACTAGTTGAGGATGAATTCCATGCGTGTTTCTGTGAATAGCCTGACAGTTTAATCGGCACATTTGCATATGGGCAAACGGAGCTTTTTTCAAAGTTGCACAGTAATATGTTTCACCTTTATGCCATGCCAGCTTCAAATTGCATCCCAGGAGGATTGCAAATGTGCATAATCTGTGCAGTTGTCTGGGCTTTTTTTCTTTTCTTTTTTTCTGCTTTTTTCTTCTTTTTTTTTTTTTTTTTTTGAACTGGCAAACGCCTATTCATTGCCCATCTGGGTAAGAATGGCCTTTGCATTTTCACACCCATTCTTTCCTATATGGTTTGTGAATACCCCTCCAATGAGAACTTGCTTCACAGAAAGCGGACAAAACCATTTTACAGGAGTTTCTCAGAATAAGTCCATTGGGATCTCTACATCATGTTTACTGGACAAAAAAAGGCAGGGGGACACTTAACAAAGACCACTTGAATTTCACAGAAATGTTCCCACTGTCTCGAGTTTAAAAGAGTGGCAGGCCTGAGAAGAGCCCGAGACAGCAGTCTTTTTCCTGAGCCAGGCATTCTGTGCAGTGACGAGTAGGTGAGTATGCACGTGTGTAGCTGGGTCTTGTGAAGAGCTGACACACTTTTGGACTTGTCCAAGGCTCTTGTAGTCTTTGTCAGAACGTGGCATTTACTTTAGAATCAAACCTGCATTGGCAAGTCCACCTTTTATGGGGTGCATCACCTTTGGACTTTCAGTTTAGAACAGCATACAGTGAGGGACAACCACAAAACTTGGATCTGGATACAGTTTCCTGCAAAAAGGGAGAGTAGCTGCACGGGACAGTGGGTTTTGCTACAGATCAATCTCTGGAATTTGTTAAAGCTGCTCTTTTATACTGCTGTGGTTTATGCAGTAGCGCCTCTTGACACTATTGCAAATTATTTGGTTGCCTGTACTTTGGGTAGGTATGGGTTTCAGTGTTGAAAGTCAAGGAAGGTGGCCTAGAAGAACATCCTCAAAACCTGTATTAGCTTATTTACCATTTGTTATGTGTCTCTTCCACCTACCCCTTTTGTTTTATCCTTAAGGAGTGAATTTCAGTTGTTTCTCAGTTGAAGTGGTAGATGTTCCAATTTCATTTGAAGAAGTAAATGAGGAGAGGATTTTTTAAGGGAAAACTGTTGTACCAATAACAACCAAAACATACTCCATGACTTCTATGAAGTGACTCAATTGACTTTCAGACCAGTTCCTACACCTCAAAGCACCTAGATCAGTTCCTATAGGAGAGCTGTGTACATCACACTCATAAATGCATACAAACCTCTTTTTTAGCCTTGATTAACCCCAGCTGGCTGTTTTCATCAAGTTAGCTAATGACCAAATACATTGTGGCTGCACAACTCTTGCTTCCCACAGCCAGGACCTGAGAAAGGCTGCTGAAACTTTCAGATGAACCTTGCTCTTCCTCCTTTTTCTACCTGATATGTGGATACGTGGCAGAATTCACTTTCCTAAGAAGTCATCCAGTCTCGTGGTGCGTATCACATCTTTCTGGAGGTGTCCTGAGGATGCATTTTCCAGAGTTCCACTCACAAAATTCATTTTATCTGCCAAGGTGCATAGGAACAAAGTAGATTTCTTTGCATCTGCTCCCATCAAGAGACTAGTCCATAGCATCTCTGCTATGTGTGGAATATTCCACCTTGTGCATGTCCAAGGCAGGATTTTTGGTTTATTGAGTTAGTCTGCTGCATATTTCTTCTTAATATCAAGTTCCTCATTTGGCAAAGCAGAACATAAACTAGAGGTCATTCCCTTTTCCAGAAGCATGTATTAAAAGACACGTTGGCATGAAAAAGGAGCCCTAGGGTCAAACCAAGTAGTGATCAATACTTGTGGATGGAAAAATTTCTAGCATGCTGATAGGCAACCTCTCAAAGGGAGATGCAGATAAATAGGTAGCTATGCAATCACTTGCCATGGCCAACAGTAGGTCTTGAAAAGTTGTCATCTATTTATAATTAATTTTCCACCCTTCTGTTTCTCTACCAGTACAAAGTTTTTACCAAGTTCTCTTCCTTTCAGATCAAGAATTCTGAATTTTTATGTAAATACATTTTGAATCCTCATGCGATCTGACATGTTGGTAAGGGAAGCATCTGGAACTGCCCTGGAGGCCTCTGGAGAAGGACTCTACCTGGAAGGAGGAGGGAATACATCTCTTCTGTACATTACTGCAGTACCCTTGAAGGAAAGTCTCCCAGTTTCTAAGATATTTTTCCAGTCCTATGATGAGTCTCATCAGAGGAGGAAACTCAGGTTTCCTGGCAGAACTTCTGAACAAGACAGATGTAATTCACAACCTCCATGATACTGTTAGTGGTTTCCTCCTTGTTTCTGCTGTGTGAGCATCCCCCCAAGTGGTCTGATCTCACATGGAAACCAGCACCCTTTTGATACGGGCTGGTTTACATCTGTTAACATCAGACTTCTTCAGACAGGTTGGCCCCATCAGGATTTCCAGTTCCTGACCTTTTTGCTTCCCTCTTATCATTCAGCTACGTCAGAGAATTAAAATAGCCACATGTGTCCAAGGTGGTTTCTGTTTGAACCGCCAGAATAGAGGGTGCTTGAGTTCTCAGGAGTGAATAAATTAGAAGGAAAAGGCAGAGCAGGGAGGATACCACATTTTCTTGCAAACTGCAGTAAGTAGTGTTCTACTGCCTCTGTACAAGATGTAAAGCACCCTTTAGGCTGGTGCAGAGCAACATTGTTGGGCTAAAAGGCATGTATATGAAACCGCTTTCAATGCCATTTATTTGCTCTATGTATTTCTGTTAAAACAAACAGTGACAATAAGTTAGTTCATGCTTCTCTACCAAATTTCACTTTTGGATTCTCACACATCAACAAGTAATTGTGGCAAGAGGGGTTGGAGCTTTGGTAGGAATACTCAAGACAAAATGCCTGTAATAATAGTGGTAATTTTCCATTATTTTGTGTACTTTTCTGGGAACCAAGATGATGCATATACTACAAATGCTAAGAGAAAGAAATTATTAATAATATTTTATTTGTTTACCACTCAAAGGGCAGTTGGTTCTTCATAGTTAAAAGGTGAAACCATAGTTTCTGCCCATTGAAATCCAAATAGACAAAAAAATGAGTAAAGAACAGGAAAGGAAATGAAAAAAGCATTAAAAACAGAGCAAGCAAGATGGAGATAGGGAAAAGTGGATCGAGAGCTTAAGTTACTTTTTAGTCACTTGTAAAAGTTAACTTTGAAGGGTATGTTGGCTCTGTACCCGAATTGGTTAGGTGCTTTTCTAAACTGTTCTCTATTTAGATTATTCAGCCAAACTAAGACAAAGTCTTCCTTAGAGTAAATGTCTGTAATTTTCCAGTTTCTGTCAAGTAAATAACAGCAGGAGAACATTTGTTTTTATATGATGGCATTCTGGTGCCAGTCAGAACTTGGGATATGCTAAAAATGAAGGGGACAGCTCATGTTAACTTTTTGCTTTGCGTTCTTACAGAGGACTGTTTGTCACTATTGGGTAGCAAATGTTCTAAACCACAACCCCAGACAAAACTCTGTGTGGGATTTTAGGAACATTTACAGCCTAAATCTTGAACCAGATTTGGATTTTACAAAGTGACTGCCAGTTTTTTTGATACAAGTAACGGTACTGTAAAACGCAGGATCCAAATTCCTTAAAATACCAATCCAGATATAAATCACATTTTCATATAGACTCTTTGTGTTAACAACTTGGTGTAAAGGGTCATTAAAGTAAGAATCTGATCTTTCCTGGCATGATTCCACACCCAAACAGTCTAAAATCCAGCTTTAATCCATGTGCTCAGTGTTTACAATTGGCTGGCTCTAGGCTTTTTAAAGCCAGATAAACTGATAGGAAGTCCAAGGCTCAAGAATGTGGTTGGAATTTAGGCCCAGCTACACCTGTTTGTCTGCTTTTGTCCAAAAATTCAGGACTTGAGCTTCTGCAAGTGAGTAGCAAAGTTTACTTCTAGCCTTACAGAGATGATGTCGTCTTATCGTTGCCTTTGTATGTGATATTTACAGTATAATCTGTTTTGTTTACCCAGTGGGCAGTCACCTTCACCAATGCCCTGACTGTGACTCTGCGGAGGACAAGACTCAATCTGTTCTCTTTTTTTTGTCACCTGCTTTGCTACAGGTAACATCAGTTGCAAGGGGATGACAGAGCGCATTCATAGCATCAACCTTCACAACTTCAGCAATTCTGTGCTCGAGACCCTCAACGAGCAGCGCAACCGTGGCCACTTCTGTGACGTGACGGTCCGCATCCACGGGAGCATGCTACGCGCCCACCGTTGTGTGCTGGCGGCTGGCAGCCCCTTCTTCCAGGACAAGCTGCTGCTGGGCTACAGTGACATTGAGATCCCCTCAGTGGTGTCAGTCCAGTCTGTGCAAAAGCTCATTGACTTCATGTACAGCGGGGTGCTGCGGGTCTCGCAGTCGGAGGCCCTCCAAATCCTCACAGCTGCCAGCATCCTGCAGATCAAGACTGTGATTGATGAGTGCACAAGGATTGTCTCACAAAACGTGGGAGAGGTCTACCCGGTGATTCAGGATTCTGGCCAGGAGACACCCAGGGGAACACCCGAATCAGGCACCTCGGGGCAGAGCACTGACACAGAGTCTGGCTACCTGCAGAGCCATTCGCAGCACAGTGTGGACAGGATCTATTCAGCCCTCTATGCCTGTTCCATGCAAAATGGCAGTGGGGAGCGCTCCTTTTACAGTGGAGCTGTGGTCAGCCACCATGAAACAGCCCTGGGGCTCCCCAGGGACCATCACATGGAAGACCCCAGCTGGATTACCCGGATCCACGAACGGTCGCAACAGATGGAGCGGTACCTCTCCACCACTCCAGAGACCACACACTGCCGCAAGCAACCACGCCCTGTCCGAATTCAAACCCTGATGGGCAACATCCATATTAAGCAGGAGATGGAGGATGACTATGACTACTATGGCCAACAGAGGGTGCAGATCCTTGAGCGCAATGAGTCTGAGGAATGCACTGAGGACACTGACCAAGCAGAAGGCACTGAGAGTGAGCCCAAAGGGGAGAGTTTTGACTCGGGAGTCAGTTCCTCCATTGGTACTGAGCCCGATTCCATGGAGCAGCAGTTTATGGCTGGTCTGGGCCGGGATGGGCAGCAAGAACCTTCTCAAGCAGATCAAAATGATGTCCCTGCTGATGGCACTCAGCCGCAGCAGCAGCAGCAGCAGCAGCATGTAGATGCCAACTCTTCCTCGCCAGAGAGAAGCAATGACGTTGAAATGGACAGCAAAGTGCTCACAGTCAATAACAGCACCGAAAAGGGGGCTTTGCAGCCTTCTGTCAACACAACTGTTGCCCAACCATTGCCAACCACACAGATCTACTTACGCCAGACAGAAACCCTCACCAGCAATCTGAGGATGCCACTGACTCTGACCAGCAACACTCAGGTCATTGGCACAGCTGGCAACACCTACCTGCCTGCCCTTTTTACCACACAGTCTGCTGGCAGTGGCCCTAAGCCTTTTCTCTTCAGCCTGCCCCAGCCTTTAGCTGGCCAACAGACACAGTTTGTGACAGTGTCCCAGCCTGGCCTGTCAACCTTTACTGCCCAGCTGCCAGCCCCACAGCCCTTGGCCGCATCTGCGGGCCACAGCACAGCAGGTGGGCAAGGCGAAAAAAAGCCTTACGAGTGCACTCTCTGTAACAAGACTTTCACCGCCAAACAGAACTACGTCAAGCACATGTTTGTACACACAGGTAAGAGTATGTCCTTTTGGCTTATACATGAAGCCAGAGAAAGTCCTGGACAAACATGGACTTAGATTCTGTTTCCCAACCTGCCAACCCCCAGCACAAACAGGAGGGAGAGATTGTCCAGGGAGCTGCTATCACTCAACACTTTTCAAGCTCACTGCATTGAAGTTGAGCCCCTGCAGAAATGTATAGGTCCCTTATAGCAGCCTAACTGCGCATGGTGCAGAAACAAGGTCATTTTGCTTGGAGTAGAATGTGTCTTGCACCCATCCAAGGAAATGGTAAGCATTTGTTGTCCCCTGCAGGCTGACCAGGCAATATTAAGTAGAAGTGGCATGACGAAATTGTAATAAGCCAGTAAAGAAAAACTGTATCTACTAAGAAAGGGCATCCCCCTGTAAGTTTTACAGCTATGGGGGTTTGAGCTCAAGTGGTGATGATGATTGGCATGCGTTTAGGGCCAGTTCATTCCTGGTGGAGTTTCAGCAGTAGGTCCGGGCCTGGGCGTTACACACACTGCCACATATTTTCTAAATCTGACATATTGCTATAAGAAAGTAAATTTTGAGATTTTTCAGGAAGTTTTTCTGTACTTCACTGAAACTGATTGCTGTAATCCCCTGTCTCTTGGCAAGTCAGATGTTTTGGTAGCTGTGAGTACGGAAACATAGGGCTTAATGGGAAAAAATTAATATATGTAGAACACAACATCAGAACCCTTTTTGTTTAAAAATGCAACTGCTTTAGTATATGGTTTTTTTGAGATGATATAAGTAACCATATTTACTACTGAGCCAAAGCTGCCTTTTCTAGCTTTGTCAAGTTATGAGACTTCAAAGCAAGGACATAGATGTATCTTACATGGAGAAGCTATCCTGGGTTCAGGACTAAATTTTGCTTGCTTTAGCCCTCAGCTCATTCTTACATTGGAGAGAAATTCTAGTTTAGAGAAAGAGTAAATATTTCTCTCACCAAGCAGTGGTTTTGTTAACATCATATCTTAAAATAAATGCTGCATTTGTGATATATGGAGTAGAACATGGAGAAATTGCCCAAGGTATGGGAGGAGCGTAAGTCATGCCTCCCCATTGTATCCAACAGAATTCATTTCCATATGCGTAGGTAAACTTTTAACTTCTGTTTACCTATAATTATCACTTAAATGAAAAATTCCTCTAGACATCTAAGCAGAAATGTACATATACAAAAAGGTCAGCTTCTCAGGACTGGTACAAAATGGATCAAGAATCCTGAATCCCAAGATTACCCTTTGTGTCTGTTTATGTTCTCCATCTTTCTGTTGTGGATGAGTAGCTAAAGCGCTATGTAGGTAGTGTTGTGTTTTTCAGAAAAATATCCCCTTCAGAACACAGTCAAATATACCTGCCTGCATCCTTGTTCTAAAAGCTACAAAGGCTTTTTCACAAATAACTGCACTGAGATTAGGTGCTTTATTTCCCCCACCCCCACTCTACACTGCCTTTGGTATTTGGAGTTGGATAAAAAATAATATTGGAAGACCTGACCTAAAATATTCCTAGCTCCTACACATAACGTCAACCAAAAAATTTGATAGGCATCTCCAATCATGAATTAATATTTTATTTGTGTGGGTCTGAGAATGCCCAAAACAATGAACTATAGTGGCAAGGAGAGATTTGGGTAGATAAATTATTTCAGAGTTCATTTAGGAACAAACTGGCTCCTGGAGTGTCTGGGAGAATAACTGCACCTTAACCAACAGAGGGCAGGGCTTCAGAAAACCCTTCTGAAAATAACCTTTATATGTACAGCCTCAGAGAAAGCATGTCTGCTACGTTGCCTAGTGCTGGACAGAGTCATTACGAAAACTGAGAGGAGACAGCTGTTCCCACTGTCAGGGTGACTTTCCTCAGCCCTGTTAAAAGAAGCCAGGTAAAGTGGCTCTGGAAAAGATCCACGAAAAAGAGAAAGATTTGGGAGATGCAAATGTTTGAATTAGTCTTGCTGTTTGGAGGGCTCACAAGCGAAGCGATGGAGGATTCTAATCATAAACCAGAATTCAGCAATCTCCCTATCTCTGTATGTTTTTATGTTTCTGAAAACTACACTCTGATGTAGATTTTCACACAATGAAAACCTGCCTCCTTTTCTTCTTTCACATGGACACAAACATACCAGAAAAGGATATTTTTTCCATGTTCCCTGCAGACTGGCTTTAATGTATCCCACAATGTTGTTGTCCAAAACATGCAATGTTGTGGAAATACAGTGCTAGAATGCATGCAGTGACAGTGAACCTTATAAGCCATCATAGCCTTCTCCTACGTATCACGCTGTGATTAATATTCAGTAACTGTCCCACATTGCTGTGTAAAACCAGCCAAATATGAAATAAAGAACCAAAAAGAGAAACATGCACATTTAATTCACTAAGCAAAGTTTTCTCTGACTTCAAGATGAAGAATCATGGGAATAAAGAATCTACAGTGCTCACTTAGGAACCACATCCATTTGCATACAAAAAAGAAAACCTGAAAAGTTTTGAGATTCTTGGGAGAGAAGAAATCCCAGGAAGGTTTTGCAGCTAAGATTAGAAAGCCAGAACCCAGTGTATCTTAGAAACATGTGCAGGCAAAAATTAGGGTGTTTTTATAGCATAGTCTTAACAGGGTCTAGAGCAGAGGAGACTGACTTATTACAGACTCTGGGACATATATTGCCTAAGGCAAAATGAGCATTGTAAATATAATCAGTCTCTTGTAAGTTAATCAGACATTATTATAACTGACACACTATCATTTTCCACATAACACGTGTCAAGCATATTGGCCTGTCTACACTCAATGCACTATTCTGTTTGGCAAAGCCAGCAGGAAAGTAAGGACTTAAAGTGTTTTGACCAAGTGTCTTTCACCAAGTAGGGAGAGATTCATCATTGGTGCAAGGAACAGCAGCATGTGGATTTCATTCACAGATGTCACCATCATATGTGCAAACTGTGAAATAAAAAGAAACAGAGACTCGGGGGAGATAAAAAAGTAGGTCCTTCCCATCCGATCCATATTAATTATCTCCTCTTAAAATTGAATATGAGTAGTGTATTGTAATCTCACTGTACAAAGAGTAAATGATATATTACCACAGGAGTGTGATGGTCCCTGAAGATTGGCTCTTCAGGATTTAAAACAGTGCCAGACAGATTGTAAAAAGGAGGAAGCAGGATGTCTGTGGGGGAAAAAAAAGGGATCTCTGCTAGAGGGGAAATTGCGGAATGACCAAAGGAAAATCATTTTTCAGTGAGTGAAACAGAGCATCATTTTGATTGTTACAGAGCTGTGGTACCATCTCTCTCCCTGACAGCTTTGGAGATGATGAATTACCACACCTGAAATATATACCACAAGTGATTCAGAAAACAAATTAAAAAGCAGCTTTTGATGGGGCATGCAGCATGTTGGGTATTGTCTACATTATCAATACAGCCACGTATCGTGAAAATGTTGCCTGATACCATGAAACATGAGGCCGTGGCATTGTCTCCCAGAAGAACTCTGAGCATGAGGAGGAATTAAGAGTAGTCTGGACAAACCAATTGTACATGCTCAGCTAAGCATTTTTTTCATTTCATCCTTGTAGTCACGGATTTGTTTGGATATGATCAGAGTTCACGTATACGAGTTGCCAGAATCAGTTTTACAGCAGCCCTGGGGACACAAGGCAATGTGGTAGATGACATAAGTATTTTATATCTCTGGTTTACCTGATAAGGTGTTTTATTTAATTGGCAGTCAAATCATTTAAATTTCATGTCTGTTACACTGGAAGGTTATCTGTTAGGTTGCCCTTTGCATGATACTGGCTGGCCTAGGCAATTCTATGTACTGAGGTTCCCTTTTCAGTTACTGTTATCCATGCTTCAGCTATGAGATTTGACCAGAAAAAGGGCAACGACTGTAAACCTCTTATAAAGCATTGGATTCCTTTGGCAGTCTCTAGCATTTCTCTTCTGAGAAATTTAAAGCGCTTTGACAAAAATGAATGTATCACAGGCCAGCTATCTAGTAATTACTAGCTTTGTCCATGCATACAGGTAGGGAGATGGAGGCACTGGAAGGTAAAGTAACTTGACCTAAAACCTGTCTAGAAATGAGCGTGAGGACGAAGGCAGGAGCCTAGGCAGGAGAGGCTGTGCCATTGAAGCGAGGGGTAGAGGCCAGGACCTTTTAACTCTTGTCCTGTCTTTGTCAGTGCCTGCTAGGTGAACTTGAAGGAACAACCTGAGCTCCCCAGAGAGGTGGTGGAGTCATCATGCCTGGAGGTGTTCAAAAAGCGTGTAGACATGGCACTTCAGGACATGGTCTAGTAGACATGGTGGTGTTGGGTTGATGGTTGGACTTGATGATCCTAAAGGTCTTTTCCAACCTTAAAGATTCTGTGATTCCTTTTTTACTGTATGTAGATTGAGAATACCTACAGCCCCCTTTGTAAAGCATTTTGAAACCTCTCGTTCCAAAAAACAGAGTTACTCTTCCTTAGCCAGAGCACCTCTCCAAAGACCTGTGTGAGATTTACCATTAGTTTATTGCAAAGAGTCGTACCGAGCTGGTTTAATTTTATTATCTTTTTTTTTTGTCTGTTTTTCTTTCTTTCTCTCTCTCTCTCTCTCTCTTTCTCATTGGTAATGGGCAGGTGAGAAACCCCACCAATGCAGCATCTGTTGGCGCTCCTTCTCTTTAAAGGATTACCTAATCAAACATATGGTGACGCACACTGGCGTGAGGGCGTACCAGTGCAGTATCTGCAACAAGCGCTTCACCCAGAAGAGCTCCCTTAATGTGCACATGCGCCTCCACCGCGGGGAGAAGTCCTACGAGTGCTACATCTGCAAGAAGAAGTTCTCCCACAAGACCCTGCTGGAGAGGCATGTGGCTCTGCACAGTGCCACCAACGGCACGCCTGGCGCCACCGGCACCGGCGCGAGGGCTGTCCCTGCCGGGGTGGTGGCCTGCACGGAGGGGACCACGTACGTCTGCTCTGTCTGTCCAGCTAAGTTTGACCAAATCGAGCATTTCAACGACCACATGAGGATGCATGTGTCAGACGGATAAGTAGAATCTCTCTCTCTCTCTTTGTTATGAACAAAAAAATAGAAACAACAAAAAAAGCTATGGCACTAGAATTTAAGAAATGATTTTTGTTTCATTTTTACCTTTATTTTCCTCCTTTTTTTGGGTTCATTTCGTTTTGCTGTTTTTGTACTACATGAAGAACTGTTTTTTGCCTGCTGGTACATTACATTTCCGGAGGCTGGGTGAATAATAATTTTCCCAGCCTCCCTCGGATGGTGGCCTTAAGGCCAGGTAGTGCTTCATGAGCTCCACTGGTTGGAACTCTAGCTACTGGCCTCTAAATACAACCCTTCTTTACTACAAAAAACAAACACAAAAAACCACAAAAAAAATCAAAAAACAGACAGAAAAAATAAAAAACAAAAAAAACCAATTTCTTTTTTCTCACTTGTGAAGAGCACTACAAAAAAAAAGAAACAAAACAAAATATATTACAAATCTACAAGGCCTACTGTCGTTATAAGTACACCGCTCGCAGTGTTTCAATGGACATAATTCACAATGCTGACCGCTTTTGGACTTCACAGTATCCAGTTAGAACTGTGGAATATTTTGCTTCTGGTTGAGCAGCAACCAGAGGAAACAAGGCCCTGCTGGTTTCCACCACGTGTCTGCTTTCTCACATACACACGCATCCACAAACACACGAAAGGGCTGAGGGGAGTGCGAGGCAGTGTGGCTTGGATAGTGTGGAGTCCCTGCAGGGTGAGGAAAAAGAATCAGAGGTTCCTCACCTGGATTCTGCTCCATCCCACGCTCTCTGGCGCACCCTCCCCGCTGCTTTTCCCATACCACCACCACCACCTTACAGCAGAAACCAAGAAGATTCAGACAACGAGCAACGGTGGCTTTTTTGTAATTTATTCAGTGTCTTCGCTGAGCCCAGGGCCTCAGCACAATCAAGAGGGACTTTCACAGAAGGCAAAGAGAAACACAGAGGAAAATCAAAGATATCAGAGGTTGCAACCTATGGATCTAGGTACAAGAGAAGGGTTAGTTCCCACAATCTTTGCAAAAAAAAAAAAAAAAATTGCATCAGGATTTATTCTTGTGGAAGAAAGAGGAATAGAGGGTGGGTGGGGAGGGGAATAATAATTAAAAAAAAAAAAGCGTTCTTGGGACTTTTTTAATTCAAAATTTTATAGAGGGGCAAAAGTGACGTTTACCAGATAGAATGCTGATTTTTTTAATATATTTACAACAGTATTTGTGTAAAAAAAAAAACAAAAAAAGTGAGATTGTTAAAAGTAATTTTTCTTTGTTTTCTTTTTTGTTTTGCGTACACTGCCACTAATATCTTCTCTTT